TCCGCGCCGCCGCCGCTGCCCGCGCCGCCGTTCTCCAGCGCACGGTCGTGGGCGAGCAGCAACCGCTCCCATGTATCTTGGCATTTCGTGAGCAGGTTGAACACGGGCCTTGTATGTCCAGGGGGCGGAGCGATGAGTAGGAGAAGGGGCGCTAAAAGTGAGGATGGGATGAACGGTACAAAAAACACTCTTGATCATGGTGCGGCTGACATGAGTTGCGCGCGCGTCGGAAGAGCCGCCAAATCGCAATGCGGCTCCATGTCAGAGATATCTCTGAACGGCACCCGAAGACTACGCGTCACCTTGTGCAGCTCTCCCGCCAGAGGTCACGAAGCTCCAACTGGCGCCGACAGTAGAGCGATCGGTTACACAACATGATTTTGTTGGCAGAAGATGGGAAACAATACACACAAAAGTTGAAATAGCCCGGCGAAGTCGGTACAAAATACGTTACTACGGTCTACGGAGATCAGTACACTCACAGGTAAGCAAGAGTCGAGGATTTCTCGAAGTGCTCCAGGATCCCCGCCCCATCCTCCCCCTCCACCTCCTCTTCGCCCTTGTCATCCATGGAGTCCACGTCGCTCCCGTCTTCCTCTCCAGCGCCAGCAGCACCCGCCCCTATTAGGCAAAGGACGAACAAGCCGCACGCAAAATTCACAAGCCGGACGCGAAACTTAGTATCATGGAGCAGGTGGGCCAAACGAGGCAGAAGCAAGAAAGAAGAAAATCCTGTGCGACCTTCCTCCTGTGTTGCCCCGGATGATACGCCAGACCCCCACCGAAACGTGTGCAGACTGGCGCCAGAAAAGACGGCAAGAACACACTTTTAAAAGTTCTTCAGACTCGACCCCAGGACGACAACGTTACGTGCGCTTGCTTCGGAACCAACGCTTTCGCCTTTTTTCACTCCGTTGACAACGGTCACAGCAGCAACCACAAGTACGTTAGTTGATTCGGAAGAAAATAACAGTCCTCCCGCTCCCATGGGGGGATCCAAACAACGGTTCACGTGTTTGAGAAGCAAGGCAAGAAAACAACCAAGTCAGAAAGTCGGCAGACAAGACATATGTAGCAGGTTGAGACGCAGGGAGGCAGTCCCGGCGGTGGCGATCTCTGCAGAAACTTCGGCATCAACGACATACTGTGTCGGCAAAATAACGCCGGCGATGCGACGTATAACCTTACCTACAACACAGCAGCACATGCGGCCTGACCACGTGCTGCCGGAATAGCAACACGCTCGGGCATCTACACCGAGACTCCTTCGAAAACACAAGCCTCTTTCGCTGTTCGAAGTAAATGCATATAGATTTTATTAATGTTTTTAGATTCAAATCACTCCTGCATATTGCCACCCGAATCCTGCCCCCAGTATGCCTTCGGACACAATTTAAATCCCACGTACGAAATACGTGTTGTATGATCAGCAAATTCCGACCTGCGGCAAGAAAAACACCGTTGTAAAGGAACTGAAAGCTGCTTGCACCATAACACGAACGGGCACCTATAGGTTTTCAAAGCACGCGCACACAATGTTCCTTCCGTGACCCCTCTTACCTTCGCCGGTTGCATCGCTGTCGCCAGCCTCCGCCCTGACAAGCACTGCCACCTCAGGCAGTCCCCTGTCCGCCAGAGCCTCTGCCAGCGTGGGCTGGACGTCGTAAAGTGCGTCGAGCCGGTGCTGCCACATGTCCTGCACCGTGTTCATTTCCGCACTGAGCGAGAACGAAATGGGGCCCGGTCATAGGGTGCAGGGAAGGGGGGGGAGGTGGGAGGGGTTGCGTAACCCCCTTGTTTCGGTGCGCTTGTCTTCCTTCCCCATCTTTTTTTTAACCAACAGCGGCTGCCACGTACTACTTGTTTTCGTGGGATCAATGAGAACCGGCACGTAGCATACGTTTCTTTGAGGCCAATGACGACTGCCTCACGTCCATGTTGAGATCTTGTTCCTACGAGGGTGAGGAGGCGAGCAGGACTTGTCGGCTGCTGGCTTGGTCGTTTGGCCGTTCCTTCATTGACCATTGACCAAGGACGCGAAGCTAGCCTAGTGAGGCGAGGAGTAACCTTCTTGCAGCCTTCTACAATAGCTATGCCACTGGTGAAGACTCCTTGTTCCGCAGATACACCTCCAAAGCCCAGCGGTTGCAAAATGACACGCTCAGTCTGGCTATGGAGACTTCGAACATTACAAATCGGCCCTGCGTGTGTGCCTGAATTCGTAGTTGGCATCGACTGCGCTTACAGGCTGACCAATGAAAAGACATCAGTATTAGTGCGGTTGAAAACAGAAAAATGCTTCTACAGGCCATGATCTACGACCCCGTGAGGGGGGGGGTGTGCGCGCGTTCTATGCGAACGTTCTGCAAGTAGTACCCGGCGGGCCAATGGTTGTGGGCCAGACTAGGTGTCGATCCCCCTCCCCCCCTTCTTCCATGCTCAAGACCTACCAAGCGTTTTCTTGATATGATCCCATGCTGCCATACCCCCAAGAGCTAACGAGCCGCAAGCCGACGTTGTACCTGACTTCGGCTTGGAGGTCCTCTTCCGACATTCCGGGGTCCCTCTTCCGAAGTTCGTTCGTAATGTTTCGCCGGCGTTCTTCGTACGCGGGGTTGTCCTGAAGGGAAGAAGTGGACAGACGGCCAGCAAAAGCGAAAGACAACCAAATAAGCACGCAAGTGTTTACAGCAGCCACAGAGGAGCCCGGCAAACCGAAAAAAAATAATAATATTGACGGTGAAAACATCCAAACATCAACCACCCTCACTAGCGGCCGGAACAGCGGGACGAAGCAGTTGCTCGCCGCAACCAACTACTAAAGTCGACTACAACCTGCCGCTGCATGAAGCATATTTAGCACAAACTCGGGCATAGCCCACCCGGTTCCAAACGGCCATCTGCTCACTCACCTTCCCTTGAGTGCAAGATCGACGTTCGGTCTACACTACACTCCCTTCACCTGTCGACCTATGTATCATCGTCACCCCGTCGGTGCAACCGTAGCACACACACACACACACACACGCACGCACGAATCCGGAGAATAGCCTAGCCTCCCCCATGCCAACCTCACGGGGCCCCGATCCACGGCATTGTAGATGTGTGTTGTATTTTCAACCGCACTGAGACTGACGTCTCTTCATTGGTCAGCCGGTTAGCGCGGTCGATGCTAACAACAACAAAAAAAAAAACACACACACACACACGTACACGTGCACACGGGGCGCACACACTAACTTACCATCTGACCAAGCGTGTTGGAGATGTCCCTCTCCACAACGATCGCCGCGTCCACCAGCTCTTGCTCGAACGCGTCGTCGTCTTCCCGCTGCTTCTGCGGGGCCACCGCCGCCGGACCAGACCCACCACCATCGCCGCCGCCGCCGCCGCCGCCGCTTCCTCCACCGCCGCCCTGAGCCCCGACCCCACTCGCTCCAGCGGAGGCGGCGGCGGGGGTGACAGTGAGGTCTGCGACCGCCCCCACCAAGTCGTCGCCGTCTAGCAGGTCGTCTCCGGCACCACTCATGCCGGCACCGGCACCGCCGCTGTCGTGAGGGGGCGAGGCCTGAGAGGCCAAAGCCGCCGCTTCGGTGTCCTTGGCGAGCCTCGCCAGGACCCTCGAAACCAGGGGGGGGTTCTGCTCGGCGTTGCTCAATAGGGCCTGGGTAAATGGTCGGGGTGGATGGATATTCGTAAAAAAAAAAACACACACACACACACACACACACACTCTGCTACCGTTCTGTCTTTAACCCGGAGAATAGCTTAGCCTCCCCCATGCCGCCCCCTCACGGGGTCTCAATTAATACCATTCAGAAGTGTTTTGCACTAGTCTTTTCATTGGTCAGACGGTTAGCGCGGTCGATGCTAACAATAGATCACACACACATACACACATGGGTGAGCCACTTCGCACCGTGTGTTTGGCGTTGGGAGAGCCTGGGAAAACGGTCGGGGTGGATGGATATTCGTAAGGCAAAGAGACACGAGTGAGCGAGCTCGCACCAGGTGGCGTTGGGTCTTCACACCCACAACAAGGAGAAGCATTGAGATGTGCGAACGTAGGTGGTGTATCGAACCACCAACGCAGCACAAGAGTGCTGCCCGAGCTGTTTTCCGAGGGGCATGGTGCCGAGAGGCGAGGTTACGCTTGAGCTTGCGCTTCAGGTTTCCAAAAAAGGCAAAGGTGTCTGTCCGATCTCGATGGGAGGTAAACCAAGAGAAATGTGGTACAAAGATGGGGTGAACTCATGCCTTGCACTTGTCTTTGTCGAAACTTGAAAAAACACTCACTGCAAAGACTTCAACACATCCCGTTCCACAATTGTACTACCGTAAGAATCGGAGTCTTCGCACACTGTGCGGTCGCCTTTTTAAATGTCTTCGTTCTTCGCACAGGGGTGCGGAGACGCCGATATGTGCGGAGACCCCGATACATGTGCGGAAATCGAATTAAATGATTTGGTTGTACAGTATTATCGCACACCCCGTGCGATGACGCCGATATGTGCGGTATTGAATAAAATTGAAGGGGGGTAAGGTGGGGTGCTTTGAACGCACACCCTGTGCGAAGACTCCGATATGTGCGCTCCAAATGAAATCACAGCGGACATTGCAGTACTCCACGTGAAAGGTAGTCCTGCATGATCCGTCAAAACACAGGAAAAAAACACGCACACATACACATAACCGGCAAAAAAAAAAAAAGAGACGCGGCGAAACAAGAAAAACGCGGCGAAATACCTAGGCGACGGTTTCCTTTTTTTTCCAATTCCTCCGCACCCAAGGGTTGTGTCCCGTTTGTACCTCGTACACACGCAACACGTTAGCTACGATGTCGGAGGAAGCGAGCGCGGGCTCTGCCTCCGCGTCACAGGCCTCACAGGCCTCACAGGCCTCATAGGCCAGTGCTGGTGGTTCTTCCTCGGTAGACCAGGGACCTGCCGCTACCGACCCGAAGGCTTCAGGAGAGGTTATCGACGAGATGCTGGCCGCAAATGACCCCGACAGCAAGAAACGCAAGTATCCAGAGCCCGGCTTCCCAGCTTAAAGATCAGGAGCGGAAAGAAAGGTAGCTACCCGGTCGGGTTCAAACTCAAAGCGGTCGCATTCACACGCGTCGTCTGCGAGGACGGAAAACCGGTGGGAAACAGCGGTGGTGCGAAAGTTCTCGACGTGCCCCGCAGGCGTATCGTCGAGTGGGTGCGCGACGAGGAATCGCTCAGAGCCAACGTCAGCGCCAACCCCAAGCTGTCTAAGGCCAAGCAAATTCACGCTGGAGGCAAAGCTTCGACAGCCGACATCGAAGAAGCCCTGGTGGAATTCATCAACGATCAGCGCAAGCATCACGTCGGCTGTGGTAGCATGGCGGTCATGAACAAGCTGCTTGAGTTGAAGCCGGATACCCTTGGCGGGCTGACAGCCAAGCCGAAGCCGGAGGAGGCGTTGGCTTTCAAGTCCAAATTCAAGAGCTGGTACCAACGTTTCCGCAAACGGAACAAGTTCAGCATCCGCCGGCGTACAAGCGTGGGCATAAGGCTACCGAAGGGACACGAGGGCATGGCGTGGGCGACGTTGATGAAGCTGCGTAAGGCTCTCCTGGAGCGTGCTGGCGAGATCTACGCTCAGCGATACCCGCCTGCACCTGGCGAGAGCCCCATCAGAGGGGAGGACCTCAGTTCATCGCAGCTGGAGTTGGTGACCGACGAATTGTTCAAAGATTTGGGCAACATGGACCAGACGCCAGTCCAGTACGAGATGCCGGTGGAGACGACTCTGGAAAAGACCGGTGCGAAGGATGCCCGCATCGCCACCGGAGGTGAGAGTATGACTGCTGTGTTCAGTGTTCTCCCAACTTTTGCCAAGAAGTGTCGTGCGTATTTGCGGTCGGCCGGATATTTGTTCTGGTCGTGATATTATTCACATGTTCTTGGAAACGTACTTCTACCGTTTGCATCCATTTCAGCCGGCGTCTGTTGCATTCGCACAATTTTGAAACCTCTCCCCTACCCCCCAACATCGTGTATCCTCCCCCCCCCACCAGGAAAAGAGAAGGAACGCTTCACGCTCTGCCTGGCTGTCTCGGCGGATGGCACGAAGGTCCCGCTGCGCATCATCTTCAAGGGTACGCCTTTCGTCCCGCCTGCCACGCCCGGGAAGGGAAAGGCGACTCAGCCGCGGAAGAACTCTATCGCGTGGGAGGTACTTCCTGCGAACCGCTCCAAGCACGGGCTCCCCGTGGGAGGCATGTCCTTCGGGGTGCAGGAGAAGAGCTGGTGTGACCTGCGGGAGTACAAGCTCTGGATCAAGGACAGCTGGAAGCTCCGTCCCAACAACGGCAGCGTCGTCCGGCAGCGCCGATGCATCTTGGTGCTGGACGACTTCAAGTGCCACAAAGACGATGGCTTCATCGCGGCCCTTAAGAGGGAAGCCAACACCATCGTCATCTTCATCCCAGGCGGGTTGACTCCTCTCCTCCAACCGCTGGATCGCATGCTCAACAAGCAGATGAAGCGGCTGCTGCGGGGCATGTACACGGCACACACGGCAAAGGCGGCCAGGGACCCCAAGACGGGCAAGCTGGCACCGCCGGGGCGTGGGGCCGTCGCTACTTGGTGCAAGAACGCGTGGGCATCCATCACCCCCGAGACAGTCAAGACTTGCTTCAAGATCTGCGGCCTCACGCTCGCGCTCGACGGCAGCGAAGACCACGCCTGGTGCCTGCACAACTTCGGGGACGGCTACCGCGAGCTCCTGGAGCAGCAGCGCGTCGAATGGCTTGCGGAACACCCCAACGTGACTCTGCCGCCGCTCCAACTTCCGAAGGTACCAGCCGAATCAACCGCCAATCACATCGAGGCTGCAGCAAAGGAGCTCGAGGCGGGGCTTTTGCCTCGCGGCGACGACAGCGACATAGAGATTGAGGATGACGACAGCGATGTAGAAGTCGTGGAAGGGGCGGGGGATGAAGAAGTGATCGAGCGGTAAAATACCGCCGTCAGGTGGGAGTACCAGTACAGTAGAGGTTTGGTTTGCAACATGTTCGTAGGAGACTGGCGCTAGAACTCTGTGATGCAGAGGACAACGGCTTCTAGAGAGGGATTTTTGTTTGGTGCTACATACGAACGTGGAACAATACTTGCAACGCGGTCCACGAGCATGTGCCAGTAAAGATTTTCCAGAATACTTTTGTGGAGATCGCTACTTTCTGCCGATTTTTCGCACGAGTCCTAGGTGGTAGTTTGTTGCGGTGGTTTCGATGAAAAAACAAAGAAAAATGATCACACGCTGAAAAACAAATGTATTTTCAAGTCCGGCGGGTACCGTATTACAAAAAACGTTATTGCGCAGAGGTACATGAGCACCGCACGGCGCCGAAGTTGATTCTTCATCAAACACGCCCCTACTTGTTAAGCTCACAACAAGAGTGGACACTGCTCTTGGAAGCGCCCAACCTCATTGCTGGGATCGGGGTCTCCGCACACTGTGCGTAGACCCCGATCCCTGTGCGACAATCGAATTAAATCATGTGGAACCCGGTTTTTGCTCCGCACCTCTGTGCCATGACCCCGACCCGTGCGGAGACGCCGATCCGTGCGAAGACCCCGATTCTTACGGTATCTACGGGTCCATATTTGTAAGTAACTATAGAGAAAACACATTGTCAACGGAATTAAAAAGCTAACGTTCCGAAATCGCGTGTCGGTCTGTTTCACCTGAAGAGGAGCCAGGCGGCCCTCGTCGCAGCACGGGCACAGCCACGTCTCGTCTGACGCTTCCACTTCCGCCGCGGTACCCTCGCCAAGCTTGTCGAGGCAGCAGTCACAGAACGCCCTGAGGACCGACCGATCGCAGTCACCGACCGGCAAACCCCGTCGGTTTCAAGGGCAAGCAAGTAGCGGAGGAAATGTCAATCAGGTTGAGACACGTCATCCACAGGTGTGTGTGTGGGGGGGGTGTACTCATAGTCGTGCATGCCGTAGTAGTTAGACCATTGACCTCGCATCGCTACAAAGCCGGGACGGAGCACGCCGGGTTCTCACCGGAACAGGCTCTCACATCACCAAGCGCGAAGCGCCGTGAGATATTCGGCGAGTCGCATGAAGGGTGCGCTGCATCCTGCTNGGCTTGTTTTACAACGTCGCTGCCAAGCGACGAAAACCCAACCCCGATGGCAAACACCGGGGCGGGTGCGGGTATCATTTTTCGGCACTTGCTACACGACTGGTGCGATTTCGTTGGCCAGCCGGCCACAGCGCGGCCGATGCAAGCGAGAAACAAACACGGTCGATGCCGGGAATTTTCCCGACGTTTTCTTTCCGCTTTGGTGGGCCGTCCCGATATTGGCGATATTGCAATTACAGGAAAAAAATTGTAGCGCCGGATACGGCGGTACTGCCGAAAAACGGAAAACCGCATACCGCCGAAAAAGTACCACCGTATTGCAATACCTCCCCGCCTGTGTCCGCCCCCCAAAAAAGGTACCGTTCTAGACACAGCCCTGAAAAAAAACAGACACCCGCGCACGCGGGCGCGCATACCTCCCGCAGCCTTCCCCGTCGCAAAGAAACAGCTTCTTGTCCTCGCTTTCCCAGCACCACGCGCAGATGTCCTCGTCGCTGACAGTCTCGCTGACAGTCTCGTCATCACCGCCATTGTCGCCCTTGTCGGCAGCGTCACCGTCGCTGTCACTTCGACCACCCCCCTTGTTCCTCCTCTTCTTCAGCCCCTCGTGAAGGGACGCCAGGCATCTACGCAACATGAGAGGGTACGTATG